ATCAAGTGAAATTCAATACCAGCTTCTGGTCTTTGTACCTGACCCAATTTACCCCAATATTACCTTCTTAATAGAATAAATTTTTTGATTCAAGATGTCATGAAAATGTTGATGAAGGCAGTAAGACTCCAAACTTATACTGGTACGACCCTTAATTATTGAACTTACTATTTTTGACTGGGTGTTCAAAGCTTGCATCTCAACAATTGTGAGTCATGTTTCTGTTGATTGTGACGGGTGAAGCAGAGTCATCTCTGCCATTCATGGGTGAGACTTATTGGTAACCAGGGTGTTGCAGTTTTACTATTATTGACAAGGTTTCATACAGTTAATGTAGAACCACAAATTTATTAATCAAGCAACACCAGTGACAATAGCTGTCTATTTGATCAAGTCAGTCATGTATTGACCCTAGCTTTCCATCTGTCCCAATCAACCCCAGGGTGTGAGGGACATAAGGAGCCATGTGGTAGTCTATGGAACTTTTTAACAAAAGATACTTATAAAAGCATGATTTCATGTCTCTTCACTAAATGCTTTGACAATTCTGATTAAAGCACAGGTACCATGTGTTTATCTTAGACACAAATTCTACCAGCCAAGCAGCTAGATTTTTAGTCCATTCAAATTCATTCAAAGCAACACCACTGATGAAGAAGTCAACTCTTCCTTTTAAGTTTGCTTTGTACCGAGGTGAGAAATGCAAAATCACAAATACACAGTTTGCACATTTACTGCACACTTTTTTGCAGACTCTATATTTTCATTCTGATACCTCTTTGATAGCATTACATGATTTTCAGATAAAAAAGCCTCCAATTATTCACACTAGTGTATTAAAATAACTCACCCCCCACCCCACCCCCCAAAAAAACTAGATAAATTAAAGATGTGGTAGAGCCACATTTGATGTAAATCCCGTTTGTCAAGGGAGTGAGTGGCTAGCTGGATATAGTCTGGCAGACGGACATTCTTGGATAAGCTGTGGAGTTAGCCTGCCCGAAGAGGATTGGCATACTAAATACATGCTGTGTCTGGGGCATGACCATGCATTATCATCCAGAGAAAACCCTCATATGCACATAGAGTATTTTATAGCACTGGAGAGCCCCTTTTTGTTGTTTTAGCTGCAAAGCAGACAGGTTCCCTTCTTCCTTTTCGCTCTGCTTTCCCCCTCCAGATCCATTTTGGCAAAGCTACCTGCCCTACCAGGAATTGAAGGACTACGGATGGCCTGCTGGCTAATCTTCACAGGGCCCATGGTTATGCAGACCCTTCTAGCTAACACTGCAGCTACTTTGTCCTTCTGCCTCCATCAGTTGACTTGTCAAGGGCAAGGGGGTTCTGTGTCCCCAGTTTTGTAGGTGAGCATCAGCTGGCTAATTTGTGCCTCTTTTTTGTCCTGAAGAAGCAACAGACTGTGCTCTGGTGTCTTTCTGGGTTGTACAAAACCATCTTTGTTGTCTCAAACCCAGCTCCAGCAATGTGACAGGGACTGCTTGCTTTGTGTGCCAGCAATGTAGCTGCATGAACCTCTGTGGTACAGCCAATGTCAATGCCAGATGTCCAAATTTAAGGGTCAGAGAATCCCAAAGCCTGTTGAAGACTTTTCTGTAGGTGTACTAACCGCTGGCAGGGGACACACAGGGGTTTGCCTGCAAAGGTCCAGTGGTCCTGAGAGCACCCCCCTCCTTCCTAAAGTTTCAGTGACTAGCTAGCCAGCTTCGACTGTCAGGTGGCCAAGCCTGGCTAGCCTTGGGGATAGACACCCATTGGTAGTGTCCAGCATGACATAAGGTTTCTTAAGTTGTCTCACAGGACCACTGTTCCTGAAAAACAATGATCCTCCTCTGGGTTAGGATGCTTTTGCACACCCATGGCCCAGATTTCTGCTGTATGTATTCCCTTGAGGACCACAAACTATATACCAGTTTTTTTTTTTATTGTGCTGATAGACCAAATAAAACCAAAGTTATGATAAATTATGTCTGCCATAGTTTTTCCTGATTATTTTTATCACGTTCAGTTCTAGATCGCGCTGTATGAGACAGGAAAACACAACATGCAGACACTAGGGACAGCGCTTACAGGCAGAAAAGGTTTGCCAAAAAAAAAAAAAAAAACACGATAACCCCTCTCCTATTGGTGAAAAACTTAACAACAACCAATCAAAAATTATATGGTGACTGATTGACATGGGATGGGCGCTTACGCTCTTCCTGCAACAGGAGAATGCTGAGGGAGACACAGCGGAGCTGTAGTCTGGCAGGGAGACAAGTGGTTGCTAACCTAGCGACTTTGTTGTTAGATTCAGTGACTTTTCAGACCCCCTAATGACTTATTTAGAAAAAAAAAACTACTTTTAGCGACTTCCTCTGGAGTTTAGAGACTCTAACATGAAGCAGGCTTTCCTTACTGAGGAGTGAGCAACGCTGCTCAGGCAGCAGAGCCACACATGAGCTCTGAGCTCTGGGAGACTGATGGTGACAGAGCTCCAGCAGTGAGCAGGTTTCAGCCTCAGAGACCACCAGGTCCAGGTTGAGACATCCCCCCCCTTTTCCCCCCCCCCTGTTACTTTTTCCCACTCGAATTTTATGGTTTGTGGGTGAATTTAGGTCCATTGTGTTAATACAGTATGTCAAAATGATAAAATAACTGTAAATTCACACAGGTGAGGTTGTGCTGAAAAAAAATGATACCAAGCAAGGAAAGGTAAGCAGCTTTCAAGAGGAAATATAAAGGTAAAATCAAAAGTAGTCAAAAACGGCCGATTATACCCCAGACTCCAGAGATGAAAAGAACTTGAAGACAAAGCCACAGACTGATTGCTTTATTTTGAAGATTACAATTCATGAACACACTTCACACAGTTAAAAAGATAATAAGGAATAACATTTTCTCTGACAGTCTGCTGGTATTCAACGCACTCAATTGGCAAGTGGCCTCAGAGAGCCACTACTGGGCTAAAAGAAAATTAACCAAACTTCAAAACAAGATTATTTTCAAGAGAGAGATCACAAAAAATAAACAGTTTAAAAAAAATGTGTTTCTGAATGATTGTAGTATGGTTTTATGTTGCTCTGTTGCCACATTTTGCCCATTCTCCTCTATTCAAAAACAGAGGAGAAGAACATGCCATGTAATAACTGTGAGATACCAAATTTAACTAAAGGCCAGTTGAGTCACTTACCAGAGGAGTAGCACATGAATGGGTGTTTTTCTTCACAGGGCAATGCCCACCCATCTTCTGAATTCTGCACAGCTGCAGCTCCACATATCACACTCCTTGAGCCCAGTAAGTGTGAACTACTAGCCCAGAACTGGAAGGAGGAATCATTTGCATCAGACCAGTGTATGTTTGGATCTCTGTACAAATCAATCCATGGGTAGTATCAATCTGGTATTAAGCTCTGAAGCTTCTGGTTCTCAGTGCTGTTCCTCACAGTGGCCAGGTCTGTGTAGTTCTTCTTGCAGAAAGAGTTTAAAAAAGAGGAATTGTTCAGCAGACAATAAACCTTGTCAACCTGTCAGTATCCTTTGACTGGGGTGTGTTTGAACCCACTTTTGAATCTGGCTGGCCAACTCTCATACTGAGGCAAAATCATAAATGAAGATGTGTCTTATCAGAAGATGGACTTGTGTTTAGAAACAACTATTTGTGTTAGTGTGTTATTCTGGGCCAGCCCCGGTGTTGTTGTTTTCTATTTCTTACCTCTGTAACAGATCTCATCTGTAACACCCACACAGAACTGGTCACCTGAAGAAAAGTCAGGCTCCTTAACAGTTTCTCAGTTCATGTATTCAGCCCCACTTGCTGTGTAGCCGTCTGACCATTTCCATTCAATCTTACTGTACAGACCAATCCAGACCAGAGAGTTGTAACCATGAGCTAAAACTGTGTCTGTAAGTTGTTCATTTTCTTCAGCGATTTTGACAGTGGCCAGGTCTTATTTCTCTCTCCAGAAGGTCTGAGCTTCAGTCCAGGTCTTAAATTCAGCAACATAGTGGTACTGATGGGCAAGGCAGGAGGTGAAGCGCCATACTGTGAGGAAAAACACATATGACAAACAGCCAATGGTAGCTGCTGGTCTTTCAAGGAGGGGAAGCTCATTTTTCTGGCCTACATCATAATTGTGTTTGTTTAGTTATATTTAACAAAGACAAAAGTCACTGAGGATCGGTAAAGTCTCTGGAGCAGTTAAGAATAACGGAATGAATAACTTGGAAAATGCTCTGGTAGATGTTTTATTCTTCAAGATCGCTGATTCGCTTGTTTAGCTGTCAATCAAAAAAGGATTTCGCCTCAGACAGCTCATCCAATCATGGATGCAGAAGCTCAGCGTCCAGATGTATAATACCTCCATTAACCCCTATGTCAATGAGTCTCTGCAGGAGGATATGTATCTGCATGCTATTAAAGGCCAATGAAAAAATCAATGAAAAGAACCCTGGAAAAGTGATTAGGGAAATGAAGATGTTTAGCCAGGGTGTTAAATAGGCCAACAGTAGCATCATCAGTCCCCCTCTGACTTTTATAAGCAAACTGAAAATGTTCTAGGCGGTTAGAAACAGTCATTGTGATTTGTGTGCTTATAACTCTCTCAAAGCATTTTCCCAAAATGGAAGTAAGAGCAATCAGCCTGAAATCTTTTAGTTCAGTGGCTCCAGGTTTCTTAGGAAGAGGCACAATACAAGACATTTTCCATGAAATGGGCATGGTTAAGGAATCAAGCAGCAACTGGAAAAGCTCCAGGATAATACCTTTAAGTTCATAGATGTTTTCCTTCAAAACTGTGCCTCTAAGCCTATCGGGCCCAGGTGCAGAGTTGAGCTTAATACAAGACAGAGGAGCTATGATTTCCCCTTCACTGAGTGTGATAGTGGCATACTCTGCAATGAACCTACACACTATATCACACTCAGCACTGAAGTCCTTTTTGTCAAAATGACCGAAGAATATATTTAAATCATCAGCAAAGGATGGAGAGAGGCTTGACAGAGGGGTACGCTTGTGCTTAGTGTCCCTTCCCATCATCACGTTAAAACCTTCCCAAGCCTTCTTGGCATTTCCTGAGAAGTAGTGGTGCTCAACTTTATCCTTATATTCTGTTTTTGCCTTTCTCAATTTGGTTCTTAATTCACATCTCTTTTCTCTGACTAACTTGGTTTTACTAACTAACTCAGTATTTTAACTTTTAAAAGCATGTTTTTTCTCTCTAGTGCATTTCCTCAGATCACTAGACATCCATACATTGTTATTGGGAAATATTTTAACCATTTTAGTTCTCTTGATTTTACTTTCATTAAACTATAGATAGGCTGTAAAAGTGTCAATTGATTCATGAGGTGTATCACACAAGTTCAGAAATAGCCAGTCAGTTGTTTCCAGTTCGCATTTCATTTCCTCCCTGCAGTCATCTGTCCAGGTCACAATTTCCTTAGTTACTGTCTTTTCTATTTTCAGCAAAGCCCTGTAGCATGGAAGTAGATGTATAACATTATGGTCAGACTTCCCCAAGGCAGGCCTGCAGGTGGATTTATATGTGTTGGGTAGGTTACCATAGCACTTCTCCAGGGTGCGTGCAAGGCGGGTAGGACAGTCCATGTACTGATGTAAAGTAGGCAGATGGTCCAACAGGTCATAGGAGTTTAAGTCCCCGAGGTTAACTGTGCGGGACAGAGCAGCATTGTAGCTCTCTGCTATCCTGGCTGCAGTTCCCTTGAAGTCTGGCCCTGGTACAAAGGCCAGTATAATGGTGATCTGGCCAAACTCTCTAGGACTGTAGAAAGGATGAAATGAGACCACCAGTATTTCATAGTCACGCGTACATTTGCGTTCCCGAACAGTGTACTGAGTAGCCCAGTATTCATCCACATAGACACACAAACCACTGCCGATCAATTTGCGTGACATTTTAGTGTCCCTGTCAGCACGTATCAATGTGTAACCCGGCAGATTTGGGTATGACATCGTCTCTCAACCAACTCTCCGTAAAACAGATGAGGTTGCTCTGTCTAAACTCGTTGTCATTATTGACTTTGGCGAGTAGTTCATGCATTTTGTTGCTCAAGGAGCAAACATTGGAAAGAGATATTACTGGCAAGGGTTGCCTGCTGCCTTGTCTCCTTATTCTCTCCCTCACTCCACCTTGGGAGCCTCTTTTCTTTATTTTCGTCTGTATTCGCGTTCCAGTGATGCTCACATACTTCCACAGGATCCAAGCCAGAGCCCCATGTTGTTATGACAGGGTGCCTAAGAGACAACAGCTGATCCCGTGTGTTTGTAAGGATGCCAACTTTTCCGTGTAAGCTCCACATCTCAGTGATTAGACTGCCTAGGAGGCACACAGTCAGCCAAGGTGTCACACCGACGTTAAACATAATTTTGCCACAAAGAGAATGCAGGTGCAATCACTTAAAACAACATAGGGGTGGGGCTCTCCACGCTGTGCGACCCAGCAGGATACCCAGACGTCTTAGTTATGGTGTTTTGCCAGTATTTTAACTTATTTGTTTTTCTTTGAATCAGATGTGTGAGTGAGCCTGTCGGTGCTTCAGAGAAGCAGATTTCAAGGACTATGGTTAAGGTTTTTGCACTGTTTTGTGTGTCAGTGCTACTCTTTCATTCTTCCGTATGTCACACTGTGAAGGAACACGGCATGACAGGTAGAGTCTCCGTCAGCCGGGAGCTTCTCCTTTCTCTACGAATGTCTACAGCCGGCGATGTTCCTGCACACATTCCAGCAGAGCTTCGTAAGCCATCTAAGGAGGGTAGGAAACGGGGAAGAAGAGGTGGAATTCGCCGTAGACTGAAGAATCTCCGGTTTCATAGCTGCCGTAAGCTTGCGCCTCTTCCCACTGTCCTGCTGTCAAATGTGCAGTCTATCCGGCACAAAATAGATGAACTGGAGGCAAGCACCAAGTTTGAAAAGGAAATAAAAGACACATGTCTCCTTGTTTTTACGGAAACATGGCTCAGCGAATCGATCCTGGACTCAGACCTGGAGCTAAGTGGGTTTGGATGCCCTATTCGGCCGGACCAGTCCCGGGAGGCCACCGGGAAGAGTCGTGGAGGAGGAGTATTTTTCTACATAAACCAAAGGTACTGTAAAATCGTTGTGGTCAGGAGGAGGATATGTTCGGCAGATATGGAGCTACTGTCTATCTCTTTCCACCCCTTCTATCTGCCTCGTGAATTCCAACAACTGTTTTTCACTTTAGTGTACATTCATCCACAAGCCAATGCATCAGCTGCTGCCCAGCTGATTGCTGACGTCACGCAATATCTGGACTCGATATGCCCAGATGCACCCAAATTTATCCTTGGGGATTTTAATCATTGTAAACTTAACAAAACTCTGAGAACTTATGATCAATATGTCACCTGTGCTAGGAAGAACACGACACTGGATCTGTGTTATGGCTCAGTCAGTGAAGCTTATAAGTCTCTGCCTATGCTGCCTTTTGGTGCTTCTAATCACAACAGTGTTTTTCTCATTCCCCTGTACATTCCTCGCTTTCAGCACCTCAAACATGGGGAAAAGACGGTAAAAAAGTGGTCAGAAAGCAGCATTTCCTCTCTTCAAGCATGCTTCGAGTCAGTGCTTTTACGATGCATGTGAGGATGTGAACGAACTTACAGAGACAATATCCTTTTACATTACTTTTTGTGTGGACCTGGTTATTCCAACTAGGAAGGTGACTACTTACCCAAATAATAAGCCTTGGGTCACAAAAGAACTGAAATCAGTCATCAATAATAAGAAAAGGGTCTTCTATTTTGGGGTGCCACTAGAGATAGAGGCTGCCTCCAGGGAGGTGAAGGCACAACAAGTACAGACACAGTACAGTACAACCTGTCTTATCATATCTGGATCACACCAGATTATGCCCACTAAATCTGCCTGGAATCTGGATGTCATGTTTGATGACCAGCTAACTTTAAGGTTGGTGTGGCCTGAATTTTTCAGTCCTGCTAATTTGATTTGGGGTGCCATTTCATCTGATGCTGCTACCCCCTGTGTTTTATCAAGTCCAGTTGATGCAGCCAGAAGTCTACCAGGGGGTTTTAGAGACCTCCAGGCTTCATCTACTCAGAATCTATATGGAGATACAGATTTCCTTTTCCAACAGGACTTATGTGCACACAGCGCCAAACTACCAGTAATTGGTTTGCTGACAATGGTGTTACTGTGATTGATTGGCCAGCCAACTGTTCTGACCTGAACCCCATAGAGGATCTCTGGGGTATTGTCAAAAGAAAGATGAGAGACACCAGAGTAATAATACATTCACAGTAATCCATGTAAAATTTGATGCTCATGAGATGTAAGCTGTAATCATCAAAATTAAAATAAATAAATAAATAATAATAATAATAATTCTATATATATATATATATATATATATATATATATATATATCACTTTGTGTGTGATTAATTTTACAATACATGGAAGATTCACTTTCTGAATTAAAATTAAGTATTTTGCAAAATTGAAAATTTTTGGGCAACACTTATGTGTGCATATTTATTTATAGATCTACATCACTGAATATTAATATTTTTTCAGACAGTTATTTTATAAGGATATAGAGCAGTTTCTCTCTCTCAGCTCATTTTCAGCATGTGTATCGATTAAAATTTAAACATAACCTTCAGATCAGTTCAGGTAAGGAAATTTTTTATACAGTCTTCAGTGTCTTCACTGCTTTCCTTCTGAGGGCCAAAGGAGCTCCAAACAAGCATTTTTTACAAATATGTAAAGACTCCCCTTCAGGAGGGTGTTTGCTTTCACAGCAGGATGATTGAGATCTGTAGAAAAGTTCTCTGGCTTCATCTTCAGCTGTATCACTTTTCTCTGGTACAGTGGCCCTCATTTATCAAGCTTGTGTACAGCAGAAAACTTGCGTACACCTTGCGTATGAAGATTTTGATGTGAGGATCGGCATTTATCAATCTGCACGTGAGCGTACACTACAACCAATTCTCACGATAGGTCTGACATCGTGTTTGACATCAAGTTTGAGTCAGTGCTGATCTGGGGTGCAGCAAATGTCTGTCTCAAAATAATTGATAAACAAACCTCAAACCTGTCTTTAAGCACAATCAGCCAGATTTTATTAAAGATTAAGACGTAAATAAAATAAAATAAAATAATAATAAATAATAAATTTGTTAGGTCCTGAGTGAATAGGCCTATTTGATAACTCTGCCCAGGAACACTGCCACAGAGCAGGAGTGCCATTTTAACATTGCATACACATGCCACTGTGGAGAGCTGCGTTTGACTCCTAAAAGGCAGGTAGCTCTGTCTTGGCCCAGCAGCAGGGACGTTGTTGTACACTCTTGAAAGGGTGTGGGACATCATTTGGGCCAGTACAGTTTTGCACAATGTTTCACTGGTGAATGGAGTGCCGTTGGCTGTGCCGGTGCAACGGGAGGACCCAATGCCCGGAGAACGATAACGAGGAGAGACTCCACAAAGGTGCTGTTCAGGGGAGACAGGACCTTATCGATGGATTCTGACATGTAAAGTCTAAGTATAGAAAGTGCTCTTGCTATTTAATCAGTGATAAAAATCCAATAGAAATCCATAAAAATGTGCCTCAGGGGCAGCAACACACCGTTTGGTGACGTTAATAATTTTTTTTGTTCAGCCTCTGTCAGACTCTCCAGTCTGCTCTACATTAAAAAGACGCAACAGAATAAAACTAAATACTTTCAATAATAGGAGCAACATACCCTATGTCATGGCAATAAAAATTATGAGGTATGTATGAGATCTATTCTGCGGCAGCGCTGTTCACTGCCACCATAATCCTGCTCCAGACAGGAGTTTTCTGAACTGCTTTTATACCAGTTTTGATGCTTCCAAAGAGAAAATCGTTTTAAGTTTCCACCACAGACACAAGGATATCCACTATATCAGCTCAGAAAAGTTTCACATCTTTCTAATATTTCTACTCTTTCATGTTTTACCACGGTGGGTGAGGTTTCTGAACCACGAATATTTAAGGGTGTGACATGTTAATGACGATCGATTTCAGCCGCCACAATTATCAAGACCCGATCATACGTAGGCTGGGAATGGTCAGATATGAACCCTTTCATAAATCTCACATGTGTCCCATCATACAATGAATCCTGCACTCACATGTGCGCAAGATTGATAAATGAGGACCATTGTCTCTGGTACACTTTCAGTTGCATTTGAATCTTCTTCTACATTATTGTATTATTCTTCAGCCTCTGAGAACAGTTTAAAAAAAATATATATCATTTAATGCAGCCAAATCTCCACTTTACTTGAGGATGGCCTACTTAACTGCCGGAGGGTCACTGTAGCACACAAATAGGAATTTAGTTTCACAGGACTTCAGTTTCTACTATCCTAAGTTGAATATTTCCACCGTGTACATATCACACTCCCAGAGCCCAACTGATGTGGAGCAGCAGAGTCTCTGGACAAACCAATCCATGGATAAATGTCATTGAGTATCCAGTTGTTGATCATATTGTTCTCAGCATTGCTCTTCACAGTAGCCAGGTCTATATAATGCTCCCTGCAGGAACTCTGAGCATTAGACCAGTTCAGTTTCATATTGACTATACAAACACAGGATCCTCCAGGGTTCCTGCAGTTAGAGAGTAAAAAGTTGGGAAATGTTGAGTCCACATTAACTTTTTAATTAGCCAGTTTGGCAGGGGCATTCCCACCCCCCACCCCCCCCCCCCTTAAATGTGATTGGTCAACTCTTGTGCCATCCCAAAAGCATTAACTATGAATTGCAATCTATTTTAGAGGAGAGACTAAGAAATCAACCGTTCAAGCAATCAGCCTGGTCCAAAAGACTGAGGGCTCTATTTTCGTTCGCGCCGGTGAGGCGGCGGAGGGCGGCGAGCCCCGCGCAGTTGTATTTTCGTCTGGTGGAGCCCGGCGTAAGGCGAGTTTGGTATTTTCGTGGACTGATTCGCACGGAGGGGAGCCGAGATCCACCAAGCTGGGCGTGGTGGCGTGGCAGGGGGAGGTGTTGACAGAATCAGCTGGCGCAGTGACATTTTCGTGCTCGCCACCGGCGTGTAACGTGCGCTGAAAGCTCGCCGATTCAAACCTGGTCAGCTTTCAGCGCAAGGCGGAACGCAGCTGGTCTTGTAGTATTTTGGTAGACCGGCGGCGTATTGACATACGTCACTGATGCCTCACCGGCAGGTTTCCACAGTGTCAGGCACATTACAGTGCAATAAATAATCATCATCAATTATTAATCTGAGTCAGCACATACATTTAGATCTATATCGATATATTCTGATCTATATCTGATCTGATGAGCGCATTTGGCACGCGTTTGGACACACAACCTGACCGAATCAACACAGCTGAAACCGCATCAAATTAAATTAAATATCTAGTAAATAAACACACATGATGAAGTTAACAAGATATGTAATTCGTCTCCCTCCTTTTCTTTCTTCCTCTTCCTCTTATTTCTCGCACAGCTCGACCTGGACACGTCTCCGTGTCCTCTGTCCGTCTTGCTGCTGCTGCTGCGGCTGAACAGATGATTTGTTTCAGTGCTCAGATGCGTTATCTACTTTAAGCCGACATACGGATATTATAATATTCAGTTTTGTGAGCCAAATTTATTTTATATGCCAACATCTATGAAAGAAAGAGCCAGGCCACGGAGCGCGATGCGTCATTTACGCACAGATGGTTCCAATTTTAATGCCATTTTTGGAGTTTATGTTGTGATCTGTGCGCTCAACCCACCTTTGTCACGTGAGGTTTGAATATGAGCAACTTTATGTGAGTGTCTTTATTTGTGGAAACGGGTGTTTGTCTTACCAGTGGGTCCAACATTACGCATACTAAATCCATCTGTGCTCATATGAGAGAGTGTGGAGGACACTTGTTGAGGAGCTGCCCTCTGTCGCCATCTTGTGGCATTACTGTCTTAAGACATCTCTTGATCTCTTTGACTACTCCATGAAAATAGTATTACGCCTCGCCTGTGGCGGATTTAAAGGCAAGGAGAGGAGCCTATGTGATTGGTGAAAACAGGTCTCGGCTGTGTTAAACCAACTACACGCCCTTTCTACTCCCCTCTACTACTTATGGTGCTGGGAGGAGCTGAGTTAGGGAGGGGGGATACTTACACCGGGCTGCGCGGCTCACCAAAATACCAAAATGTGCTTGGGAACGCCTTGTCAGCGCGGCGGATCTGACTGACGCTGCGCTTGCGGCACGTCTCCGGCGAGGCACCAAAATAGAGCCCTGAGTCTTGGGGCTCTATTTTGGTGCCTCGCCGGAGATCTGCCGCAAGCGCAGCGTCAATCAGATCCGCCGCGCTGACAAGGCGTTCCCAAGCACATTTTGGTATTTTGGTGAGCCGCGCAGCCCGGCGTAAGTATCCCCCCTCCCTAACTCAGCTCCTCCCAGCACCATAAGTCGTAGAAAGGGCGGTTAGTGGGTTTAACACAGCCGAGACCTGTTTTCACCAATCACATAGGCTCCTCTCCTTGCCTTTAAATCCGCCACAGGCGAGGCGTATTACTATTTTCATGAAGTAGTCAAAGAGATCAAGAGATGTCTTAAGACAGTAATGCCACAAGATGGCGACAGAGGGCAGCTCCTCAACAAGTGTCCTCCACACTCTCTCATATGAGCACAGATGGATTTCGTGTGCGTAATGTTGGACCCAGTGGTAAGACAAACACCCTTTTCCACAAATAAAGACACTCACATAAAGTTGCTCATATTCAAACCTCACGTGACAAAGGTCGGTTGAGCGCACAGATCACAACATAAACTCC